AGTAAACATGTCTCAGCACCCTTGGTGGATCTGTCTCAATATCGGTCTATAGTTAGTGCACTGTAGTATGTATCATTGACAAGACCTGAAATAGCCTTTAGTGTGAATAAGGCTTGTCAGTTTATGGCAGCACCTCTGGAAGCACATTGGTCAGCGGTTCGTCGCATACTATGATATCTTAGTGGCACTTTGATAGAACAGAGGTATGATATAATATGATAAAGAAAAGTATTTTATTAATGAATGTGAAAGTAAAATAAATTCCAGAGCTACTGCTCCTCAGTCAGAGAAACAATTCTCTCACTGCCCAAATCCTAATATCAAAAACAGAAAATCAATCAATGCCTCACTACTGCCCCATACACTCCTCTTTATATGGAGAGTAATCCCTAAACTAACTCCTACTTATATGGAGAATAATACCTAAACTAACTCCTATTTATTTGTGGAGTTTCCTATTCTTTCTCACATAAACCCTCCATTGTTTAGGTCTAATAATATCTATATTAACTAACACATTCCCATCATCATTTGTGGGATCCGATCCATTCCTATCATCACCCCCACCTACAACATTAGCCTTGTCCTCAAGGCGCAAATCAGGGAATTGACTTTTCAGCAACAGTTCCTCTTCCCAAGTAGCATCTCCAACATCCATCCCTTCCCATTGTAACACACTGTTGACCTTGGCAGGATCAACAGCAACCCCTGCTTTGGAAATGACATGGCCCAAATATTCCACTTGGTGCTGACCGAAAGTGCATTTCTTCCGATTTGCCACAAACTAATGCTGCTGCAGAATATTAAGAACCACCTCAAAGTGCTGTAAATGTTCAGCCCAACTACTACTGTATACTAGGATAGCATAAAAAAAACCCAGGACAAACTTCCGTAGAAAGGGCTTGAAAATTGCATTCATCACCGATTGAAAAGTTGCAGGAGCATTGGTGAGGCCAAACGACATTACCAAAAACTCATAGTGACCCTCACGAGTCCAAAAAGCAGCTTTATGAATATTCTCTTCCTTCATACAAATTTGATGATAACCGGATTTAAGATCAAGCTTAGAGAAATAACTACAGGCATGTAACTCATCTAACAATTCATCTACAATCGGAATAGGATACTTATCCTGAATTGTTACCTTGTTGAGTGCACGGTAATCTACATACATACGCCAAGATTGATCCTTCTTCTTGACCACAATGACGGGACTAGAGAAAGCGCTAGTGCTGTTTCTAACCACCCCTTGTTGCAATAGGCTCTGAATCTGTTTTTCAATTTCATCCTTGTGTAAATGAGGATATCTGTATGGTCGCACACTTACCGGACCCGCACCCTGTAAAAGTTCACTTGAGTGACTAGTGTTTCTTGACGGAGGAAGACCTTGGATTTATTTAAACACAATAACAAAATGCTCCAGCAATCTTTCCAACTCCTTAGTCTGTTGATCAGAGACACACGACACCGGTGACCCTAACACCTCCATCAAGGTAGGCCATTCACAGCCTGCCATCATTCGAGAAGGAGTGATAATGCTTTGGAAAGTAGCCATCTTATAATCTACAGCCTGACCAAGTAGTTTCACCATACTGCCTTTATGGTTGAACTCCATAGACATTTCTTTCCAATCCATGGTCACCTTCCCCAACGTTTCTAGCCACACAACTCCTAAAATCAAATCCACACCTCCTAACTCCAACACATAAGCATCAAAGCAAATCTGCACTGATCCCACTTTCATCTGAATTCCATTGCATCTACCCCTAGTTAGGACACGATGACCATCTCCTAACTTAACACCCAAAGGGTTAGAAGGCACCATAGACAATCCCAGGGCTTCAACCACCTTAGGTGATATGAAATTATGTGTGGCTCCACTGTCAATAAGTACCAGAATTAAGGCACCTTGTAAACATCCCTCCAATTTCATCCTCCGGACCTGACTTGGATTAGTGGATACACCAACCAGCCCCATGGTTTTACATTCTAATTCCTCTTGTGTGAGCTCTTCTTCCGTCGCAGCCTCCAACACCATAATCTCTCCTGCATCGTTAACAATTTCGTCATCCCCCAAGATAATCAATCATAACTGTCTTGTTGCACATTGATGGAGAGGATCCCATCGTTCGTTGCAATGAAAACAGAGTCCTTTCGCACGATGCTCATTAACCTCCGCACTTGGTAGATGGCGAACACCACGAGATTGACGGCGTGAGTTTTCACCTAAATTTGGGCGAGAAGATGCTGTAGAATTGGTAGGACGTGTTGAGACGGTTTGAGATCCAGAATCCGAACCAGTCCGCGTTTGGCCCAAAGAATGATTAGGCTGGGTCTGAGTTGCAGATTCGTTCCCTTCCCCTTCGCGAAAAGCCTAATTAGGCTTTTGAGATTTTGTCCAAGAACCATGACCTGGTTTGTAACGTGCTCCAGAACCTTGTCTATAAGCCACTGCAAATTCACTTTCAACATCACGAGCCAATTGCATTGCTAGGTAACGATTGCGAGGCTTGAAGGTACGCACACGAGAACGAATATCATGACGTAAACCACCAATGAAATAACCTAGAAACTGTTGTTCTTGCAAACGACCACACTGTGAAGAATACAGTTCGAATTCAACAATATATTCCTCTACTGATTCCGATTGTTTTAGTTTCTTTAATTCCTCAAACGGATTCTCCAAACGCCCACCTCCAAATCGAACCATCATCACCTCACGAAGGTTCTCCCATGACACTTCCTCCGTTGAATCATGTCATAGGTTAAACCAATGGATAGTAGGGCCTTCCATACTCAATTTGGTCAACTGAATACGAACATCCTGCGAAAATCGTTGTACCTCAAAGTATGTCTCTGCCCGAGTGATCCATGCAACCGGATCGTCACCGGTAAATGCTGGCAACTCCACCTTCTTCGCAGATAAACGAAACTCATCCAGCGGTGAGGAAACTGCCGCACTGCTTGGCTGCGACACTTCACGATGAGCCATTACACGTTGAATCTCAACACCAATGAACTCTCGTAACGCAGCAATGCTAGCCTCAACACCTTCCAACCTTTCTTCCACTGCAGAAACACGGTCAGCCATTTTAGGAGCTTTGGGCATGAACAATGGTAGGTCGGACCAATTGATAGAACAGAGGTATGATATAATATGATAAAGAAAAGTATTTTATTAATGAATGTGAAAGTAAAATAAATTCCAGAGCTACTGCTCCTCAGTCAGAGAAACAATTCTCTCACTGCCCAAATCCTAATATCAAAAACAGAAAATCAATCAATGCCTCACTACTGCCCCATACACTCCTCTTTATATGGAGAATAATCCCTAAACTAACTCCTATTTATATGAAGAATAATACCTAAACTAACTCCTATTTATTTGTGGAGTTTCCTATTCTTTCTCACATATACCCTCCATTGTTTAGGTCCAATAATATCTCTATTAACTAACACATTCCCATCATCATTTGTGGGATCCGATCCATTCCTATCACACTTTATCTCATGGTTTGGTGTTGTCTTCATCGATCTCGTATCAGAAATTCTCTATTAGAGCTTATAGTGATTTCGATTGGGAGAGTGATCCTGACGATAAGAGGTCAACTTCAGGAACGTGTATATTCTTTGGTTCTAATCTCGTCCCGTGGAGTTCCAAAAAGCAGTCCTTGGTAGCTCGCTCGAGTGCGAAAGCTGAGTATCGTGCATTGGCACACTCTACTTCAGAGTTATTATGGATCGAATCTCTCCTCAAGGAGCTTGATATCTCGTTTCACACTCCAACTCTGTTGTGTGACCATATGGGTGTTGTGCAAATGTCTCAAAATCCGGTTCTGCACGCGCGAACTAAACTCATTGAGCTTAGCATCCATTTTGCGCGTGAACGAGTGTTGTCCAAGAAATTGCAGATATAACATGTTCATGCACTAGCTCAAATTGTTGACACATTGACTAAGCCCTTAGGTACTACAACATTCCAGGAATGATTTTTCCTCTTTCAATAGCCTTGCACTAAGGACTCACTTAGATAGTATAAGTATAAAAGTCCTACTTGTATTAGTTGAGAGTGTGAGTCCAGCGTGACAACATATATAAAAGGCTACTGTACTATTCTATTGAATAACAAGAATATTATTCATTTTCACAATCACTTTCCACTTCGTCTTCTATGAACTTTAACAAATAAAAAGGACTAATTTGACTAACAGAAAGGACTAATTTGACTAACATAACAGTTTTAAGAAACTAACATGTAACATTAGATATGGAACTAAAGCGATACATTAAAAAATTAAAAGATTTTGAGACTAATTATGTCTAGTTTTTTTTTATTAATATGAATTCAAAGTTAAAAAACTAAAAGTTAAATGCACTATTTATTTATTTTTTTATTTTTTTATTTCTAATTAAAAATCCAAAAGCCTTTCAAATTAAAGATATAATTTGAATAGACTTTTAGACTTCAATTTGAAAAAGAAAAAGTAAATGAAGTGCATTAATTAAGTTAAAATGGCCAATAAAATAATGTAGCTATCCCTCTCACACCTTTGTTTTTTTGGTAAGTTGTGCTTCCTATCTTAAAAACGTAAAAAAACTTTTATTTTAAGATTATTTTTTATTAGAAAGATTCTTATTTTGTGATGGAGGAGGAAGTATTATATTTTATTTATTAATACATTTATGATTGTGCCATCCTGGGAGATAATGTTGGTGATGTTTACACTACTCAAGAGAAAATCTATATCTCTCTTTTACTACTATATAAGGATCTTTTCTAGGCAAACATTACTTAGATGTGATCATATTCTTTGGTGTGACGGGTACGGAGCTCAATCTTCTGAGTTAGTACTCTTATAGATTACACACATTACTTATGCAGCTTATTCTTAATTGATTCACTACATGCATATTTCACCTGATGTTTTTCAAATGCTTTCTTTCCTGAATAAAACAAAAACTACTGGCTCTTTTCTTGTGTTCTGGCAGAGTTTGGAGATATGGAGCATGAACAATCTAACGTTGGGAAGTTTAAGAAATTCACATGGAAGGTTGAAAACTTCTCTCGCTTGAAATCCAATGAGGTTCGGTCTAAGCCTTTTATCTTAGGCGGCTATCCATGGTAATGAGTACCTACGTGCTAAGTATTTACCTATTGGATATGTGGAGTAATAACTTACTGATTGTGTTTTTATCCGCTTTGGTGATTTTATAGGAGGATTCTTCTGTTTCCAAAGGGAAACAATGTAGGTAATAACTTATCAATATATTTGGAGGTTGTGAAGACTGCTAATATGTCTGAGGGATGGCGAAGAGATGTCAAATTCAAGTTGCATGTGTTCAATCAAGTGGATGCAAAGATGACCGTCACCAAAGGTATTTATTTTCTTTACAAACTGCTAATACGAGACCGTTTTTTAATAATTTAAACGGACTCTTGATACATGGATTTGACAGAAAGTAAGCATGATTTCAATGCATGTCAGAGAAATGACTGGGGATTTACCTCATTCATGACGTTAACTGACCTCCATGATGCTGAGGAGGGGTTTATTGTGAAGGATACTTGTATTGTTGGTGCTGAGGTTTTTGTTTGTAAGTCCACACATGAGAAACCAGTAAATCAAGATGCATGCTTAATATTAGGATGTCAAACAAGCCATGTAAAAGTGGAAATCCCAAATCCAGAGCCAGAAGCCACAAATCTTGAAACACGTTCACCACTTTCATTTCAACCTTGTGAACAAACTGATGAAGAGTTGGTGTGTGCTGCACTGGGGAAAGTTATTCTTTTCCTTAAAACTAGAAAAGTGAAAGATATGAACGAACAAGCTTCTAAGGAACTTCAAGTTTTATGGGATGAACTTAGGAAATTTAAAATTGATCTTGCTTGGCTAGAGCCACAAGTTCAATCTGCTTTTGGAATGAAAACTTATGTGGAGAAAACTTTGGAAGTTGAAAAGTTGAAGGAGAATGTTGCAGTTCAAGAGCTGAAAACGAAAATGCTAAAGGCAACTTTGGCTGCTGCTAAGTTAAGTCTTGATGTAGAAAGAGAGTTGTTGAAAGCAAAAGGTATGAAAGAAAGAGATTTGGATTTAGAATTGGGTTCCGGAAGTTGGACGCCATAGATCTATAGCTAAGCATGTATTGATTTCAAAGAATGCTTAAATTTGTCAATTTGATTAACATGTATAACTTATTTCCTTTATTAATTTTTGGTTTGGAAGTTCCACAATTATATTTCTTAAATCTTTTACAGCGCTTTCGCAGATAAGTGGCAGTCTCTCCTGAGAAGCTTATCATGTTTTTCTCCGAGATAAGTAACAGTCTCGCTTGAGAAGCTTATCATTGCTACACTTGCAGATAAGTGACAGTCTCATCCGAGAAGCTTATCATGTTTTATCTTGTTCAGATAAGTGGCAGTCTCGCCTGAGAAACTTATCATTGCTAACCTTGCAGATAAATGGCAGTCTCATTCCAAGAAGCTTATCGTTGTATTTCAACTCCTCAATAAGCGGCAGTCTTATTCTGAGAAGCTTATCACTACCTTTTATAGTACCAATAAGTGACAGTCTCGCTTGAGAAATTTATTCCTATTTTTATTATATCAGCAACAAGTGGCCATCTCCCTCGACAAGCTTGTTTTCATTGCACTTTTCTCATATAAGTGACAGTCTCTTCAGAGAAGCTTATCAATTTTATTCGTGTCCCTAGATAAGTGGCCGTCTCCCACGAGAAGCTTATCATTATTATCTTTTCAGATAAGCGGCAGTCTCTTTATTTGAGAAGCTTATCCATTTTTGGCATGTAAGTCCCTTTCAGCGATAAATGGCAGTCTCTCTCGAGAAGCTTATCAGGGCATTTCCCCATTTGAAGTTCATTTATTTTGGCATACAACAGGTTTTTACCCATTTGAAGTTCAAATGGGGCATTTCCCCATTTGAAGTTCATTTATTTTGGCATACAACAGGTTTTTACTGTAACGCTCCGATTTCGATTATCCCCTTTTATTGGGTCCCTATTTAATTTAATTTGGAGAATATTATTTGAATGTAGAAATTGTGTGGAAATATGTTATATTTACATATTATCCTATTTTAACCGGTTTTGAGAGGTTTCAGAGGAAATAGCTTGGAGGGTATTTTGGACATTTCCTATTTAATAATAAGTGAGATATTTATGAGATATTGAATTAGTGGATGTTTTGGAAAAATAAGGGAAAAGATATTAAAGAGGAAATAGAAGGGAAAGAAAAGGATAGTAGGAAGAAAGAAAGAAAAGAGAAAGAAAGGAGAAAAGGAGAAAGAGAAGAGAAAGAGGAGAAAATCTAGATTCACCAAGATCAACCAAAGCTTGCGATTAATCAGGTAAGGGTGTGAAACTCCATCATCTCTTTAATGTGTATGATTGTATGTGTATGTGTTTGGATTTTGTAGAGTTTCTACTCTTTTTCCCACTTAGGTTAGAAGTTGGTTTTGTGAGTAGAATGAGGTTTTAATCGGTTAGAACTTGGATTAGACGATGTAGTTTAGTCGGGTGATGGTTGGGTTGTGCCTCTGAGACTGGTTTGGATTTAATCGGTTGATTTTGTAGAGTTTGGGCTCTTGAGACAGCCATGGAAGTTCTGTCTTCGCAGGCTCGCCAGGCGAAGTCCAGCGAGCTGTAGCGAAGCAAGTCAGAAGCAAACACCCTGTATTCGCTGGCAAGTTCGCCAGGCGAGGTTAGTTGGCGAAGGTTCGCCAGGCGAGTGTCTAGCGAGCCTCAGCGAGTAATTCCAGAATTACTCCCAGTGGACTTCGCTGGGGAGTTCGCCAGGCGAAGGTCAGCGAACATTCGCTGCGTGGCTTCGCCAGGCGAAGGTTGGCGAATGCAGCAACATATGTTATCTTCCTGTGCTTTCCAATTGAGGATTGGTTGTGTGGTTTGGTTGCGATCATTCCTTGTCAGAGATGACTGATTATGTGTTGTCATATGTGTTGTGGATAGCCGTATGGCGTGAATCCTAGTTTATGATTTGTGAGGTGCGAGGTGTAGCCGTTTGGCAATTTTGTGCATTTGCTTAAATTGATTAGAAATGAATGAAGGAATTGTTTGTGAATGTGAACCATGTGTGATTGGTTTGAATGGATGATGAATATATATATGTTTTCTTTTTGATACATATATGTTGAGTGCATAATATATATATGCAATGAATGTGAAGAATGCATGAGTATGTTTGTAAGCATGTATGCATTTCAAGAAGTGTAACAAGTACATTCTTGTGCTGTTGACTCTTAGGAGAGTCTGATGAGTGATATGACTCTTAGGAGAGTCTGAAGAGTGAATTGATTCCTAGGAGGATCTGATGAGAGATGTGATTCCTCGGAGAATCTGCTGAGTGACCTGATTCCTAGGAGAATCTGATGAGAGATGTGATTCCTCGGAGAATCTGCTGAATGACCTGATTCCTAAGAGAATCAGATGAATGGTGTGATTCCTCGGAGAATCTGACGAATGATGTGATTCATAGGAGAATCTGACGAACGATGTGATTCCTAGGAGAATCTGACGAGCGGTGTGATTCCTCGGAGAATCTGATGAATGGTGTGATTCCTAGGAGAGTCTGATGAGTGTTGTGATTTCTAGGAGAATCTGATGAGTTATAGGGTACCCGTGAGGGGTGAGAGTAAATTGATTCTTAGGAGAATCTGATGGACAATTAGGTCGATATTGTGTTGCATTTGCATAGAGTAGCGAGTTGACCTCTATGATTTGCATTTACCTTCTGTGCATGATGTATGGTGAAATAAACATGTTATGTACGTTTGTTGAATTAATGTGAAATGTATGATTTGGCACAATGTAGATGTTGGACAATATATACATATATGTGTGTGTATGTTTATGAAATGATATACACATTGATGATACATATTGAGCACGCTTGGGTCCTATTTGTATATAGATACATTGCAATAAACGAGGTGAGTTGTGGTGAGAATGCGTAAGATGCATAATTGTTGATACGATATATATATATATATATATTCATGCCTTTATGCATTATTTATTATGATATTGTTTCTCACCCTTCTGCTGTTTTATAATGCTCTATGAGGCATTGCAGATTAGATGGCTGGAGACATTTTTCAAATTAAAGATATACACTTGAAGAGACTTTTAGACTTCTAATTTGAAAAAGAAAAAGTAAATGAAGTGCATTAATTAAGTTAAAATGGCCAATAATGTAGCTATCCCTCTCACACCTTTGTTTTTTTGTAAAGTTGTGCCTTCCTGTCTTAAAAAAAAAAAGTAAAAAAACTTTTATATTAAGATTATTTTTTATTAGAAATATTCTTATTTTGTGACGGAGGAGGAAGTATTATATTTTATTTATTAATACATTTATGATTGTGCCATCCTGGGAGATAATATTGGTGATGTTTACGCTACTCAAGAGAAAATCTGTATCTCTCTTTTACTACTATATAAGGATCTTTTCTAGGCAAAAATTACTTACATTTGATCATATTCTTAGGTGTGACGCGTACGGAGCTCAATCTTCTGAGTTAGTACTCTTATAGATTACACACATTACGTATGTAGCTTATTCTTAATTGATTCACTACATGCATATTTCACCTGATGTTTTTCAAATGCTTTCCTGAATAAAACAAAAACTACTGGCTCTTTTCTTGTGTTCTGGCAGAGTTTGGAGATATGGAGCATGAACAATCTAACGTTGGGAAGTTTAAGAAATTCACATGGAAGGTTGAAAACTTCTCTCGCTTGAAATCCAATGCTGTTCGGTCTAAGCCTTTTATATTAGGCGGCTATCCATGGTAATGAGTACCTACGTGCTAAGTATTTACCTATTCGATATGTGGAGTAATAACTTACTGATTGTGTTTTTATCCGCTTTGGTGATTTTATAGGAGGATTCTTCTGTTTCCAAAGGGAAACATTGTAGATAAGAACTTATCAATATATTTGGAGGTTGTGAAGACTGCTAATATGTCTGAGGGATGGCGAAGAGATGTCAAATTCAAGTTGCATGTGTTCAATCAAGTGGATGCAAAGATGACCGTCACCAAAGGTATTTATTTTCTTTACAAACTGCTAATACGAGACCGTTTTTTAATAATTTAAACGGACTCTTGATACATGGATTTGACAGAAAGTAAGCATGATTTCAATGCATGTCAGAGAAATGACTGGGGATTTACCTCATTCATGACGTTAACTGACCTCCATGATGCTGAGAAGGGGTTTATTGTGAAGGATACTTGTATTGTTGGTGCTGAGGTTTTTGTTTGTAAGTCCACACATGAGAAACCAGTAAATCAAGATGCATGCTTAATATTAGGATGTCAAACAAGCCATGAAAAAGTGGAAATCCCAAATCCAGAGCCAGAAGCCACAAATCTTGAAACATGTTCACCACTTTCATTTCAACCTTGTGAACAAACTGATGAAGAGTTGGTGTATGCTGCACTGGGGAAAGTTATTCTTTTCCTTAAAACTAGAAAACTGAAAGATATGAACGAACAAGCTTGTAAGGAACTTCAAGTTTTATGGGATGAACTTAAGAAATTTAAAATTGATCTTGCTTGGCTAGAGCCACAAGTTCAATCTGCTTTTGGAATGACAACTTATGTGGAGAAAACTTTGGAAGTTGAAAAGTTGAAAGAGAATGTTGCAGTTCAAGAGCTGAAAACGGAGATGCTAAAGGCAACTTTGGCTGCTGCTCAGGTAAGTCTTGACGTAGAACGAGATTTGTTGAAAGCAAAAGGTATGAAAGAAAGAGATTTGGATTCAGAATTGGGTTCCTGGAGTTGGAAGCCATAGATCTATAGCGCATGTATTGATTTCAAAGAATGCTTACATTTGTCAATCTGATTAACATGTATAACTTATTTCCTTTATTAATTTTTGGTTTGGAAGTTCCACAACTATATTTCTTAAGTCATGAGATGGTAATGCGGATTTCAACATAGTATGAAAACATCCTTGATTCTGTTGATTCTTGTGTGTATGTATAAATAGAAAATAATCTTGATGAGAAAATGAGGCATGATGTACTAATATAAATAATCTTGACAGCAAACCATTCTTGAGGATTGATTTTCAGCCAAACAGTAGCCTT